CTTAGTAAAATTACCCACGCTCGGTACCTACGAAACAGTCCAAATTTACACCCTTGGCTATCGCCTCCGGCCTGTTAGACTGTTCCAAAGGTACCTTGTGTGGGTAATGCCCTCACTGGCACTGCTGTGTATTATTCGTATAGTAACCAGTGGATTCACTTTCCTTCGATACAATAGCAACTCATTTTCGAAAATTCAAATAAAAAATTGCAATACCTATATCCCATAGAAATCAGGTTTGGATTACGTAAAACGTCACTGCGAGGTGACGCACATTCAATAGGTGACTCACAAGGCTATTGCAATTGCCTTCGAAAGTAGTCGCAATTGTGTTAGTGTTTCTTTTGTTTTAATTTTTGTCGGTAAACAATAGGAAAAGAAGAATCTCAAACATCTCCTCTATCCTTAACTTTTCTTAGGAGACAAATTCTACGGCATGTTATTTGAGATCCTGTAAAGGTCGATCACTCAGGCGCTGGTATAGCTTTTAAAAAATTAAAAAGGAAGAGGGGGGGGGGGGCTTACAATAGAACGTTCTGTGCAACGTACGTGTCTCACATTACGAATTTATTTCATCCAAATTGAAGATATCTTGATAGGATTCATGGACGAGTTTTCATTCAGTCTCGATGGAATGGACAAAAGTGTACGTTTAGCGCCAGAAGACGGTAACACAGAGTTAGTACCCTCCTGGCTCCGAACAGAATGTTTAACGAGACACAATGCATAGAATAACTCTTAGTTTAGTGCTGATGGTATATGTAACGACAGCTGGTTTACATGTGCGTAGTTACCGGGGGCACGGCGCGTATCCCATTCCCCAATAGTGAAGCAAGAGATCAAGATAGAAAAGGGAAAATAAGACGTTAGTGACGAGAAAAATTGTCAGGATCGAACAGCACCCTTTCCCTAATCGGCGATCTTGTTAGTACGTATCCAATACATGTCATCCTTATTTTTACGACCAGGCGCGCCGGAAGCAGTTTGGGATTGGGGGGGGGGGGGGGGCAAACATTCCAGGAGGCTCACCTTCCGGGGCAGTGACGTAATGAGAATAAAAAACGTTCGAAAGGGGAGGGGGGCAGACAAAAATCTGCATCACCACCAGTCTTACACGTTACATGCAGGTAAAGCCTCGACAGTATTAACGATCAGGTAGAGCCTCGGCAGTATTAACGATCAGGTAGAGCCTCGGCAGGGGGTCAAGGGGCTGAGCCCCCGGAAGCTCAGGGTTTTAGGTATTTAATTACGGTTAGATGAGCATCCAGGGGCCCTCTTTAAGGCCATTGACGTGTTCCGGGGGGAGGGGGGGGGGGGGAATCCCCAGAAGCTCAGAGGTTTTAATATTTAACTACGGTCAGATGAGCATCCAGGGGCCCTCTTTAAGGCCATTGATGTGTTCCGGGGGGGGGGAGAATCCCCAGAAGCTCAGAGGTTTTAATATTTAACTACGGTCAGATGAGCATCCAGGGGCCGCCTTAGGGGCCTTGGTGGGGTCCAGGGGGCAGAGCCCCCGGAAGCTCAGGGGTTTTTGGTATTTAATTACGGTCAGATGAGCATCCAGGAGCCCGTCTTAGGGCCCTTGGTGGGATCCAGGGGCAGAGCCCCCGGAAGCTTAAGAATTTCAGGTATTTAATTACGGTCAGATGAGCATCCAGGAGCCCGCCTTAGGGCCCTTGGTGGGGTCCAGGGGGCAGAGCCCCCGGAAGCTTAGGGGTTTTAGGTATTTAAATACGGTCAGATGAGCATCCAGGGGCCACCTTAGGGCCCTTAGGGGGGTCAAGGGGGCAGAGCTTGGGGGCTTTAGGCATTTAATTACGGTCAGATGAGCATTATTTGTGACATTATTTATGACATCGGTAGGTCACTTATTTTTTCTCTCCGTCTGTCTTTCTTTTTCTCTTTAACATACTTTTTCAAAAAGTGAGGGGGGGGGGGGGCTCGACCCAGCCACTTTGCAGACAATGACATAAAGGCTTCTAAAGAAGCGTATTTTTCGCCGGACTGTAATTTGGGAATTTCTTATTTTCCAACAAACGCATAAAAAGGTATGACTTACAAAAATATGGAGAAAAAATACCGGAAAATCATGTCATAACAGCAACATATGTAAATCACTGGCATCGAATAAGAAATACACCCCTCCCCCCATCAGTACGCCAGCGTTGAGGGGCTCATGTCTTATCACCTCTATAACAAAAAAACAGACACGCTTTCCCATTTTCGCACAATATGTCCACGATATGCGCGTATCGCTATTATAAAGACCTCCATTACTAAATACCGTTTAGGTGGCATGCGCAATGTTTATGAAATTCAATTCCTGTGAACTTTCCTTTTCTTTGAATGGAATTGTATATGTGATTTAATTCAGTTTTTTATTATAGTTATGTTCTTTTGGGTGAAAAATACAAACCATGTTTATTTCTTTACTGCTTTTTTTTTTTGGAGGGGGTGGGGGCGTTTTGGGGGGCAAAAATGCGTTTTGCCCCCCCCCCCCCACTTTTCTGTTTGGGGGGGGGGGCAACTGCCCCCCTGCCCCCCCCCCCCACTTCCGGCGCCTATGTTTACGACAATCCCTAATTGTGTATTTGATTCTCCTTTAGCTATCATACATTGGTGTTGCATTACTTCACTACTTAATGAATTTGCAAAACGAAGAGTATGAACAGTGAGTTGTGTTACTGGTGCTTTAATTATACTCCAATGATTGATCAGCGCAGGAAATGACGGTATCCAAATGACGCTTCATAATACCGGCATTAAAGATACCACGATCAACAGCCACGTGGTAGAATTATATAAGTACAACGTTATGTACCAAACAGGAAAAGGAAGGCGATATAATATGTGACTCAATTTAGCTATTCGTTACATTGTCATGTGCATGTAAATATAGATTAAAGCGCATAATTTTCGTAGTGAAGCCTTTACATGAAACTTTCAATGCCATAGCAAGATATGATATTGAATCAGATGTAAAGGTTAAATCTCTCTACCATGGAAGAATATCATTCAATTCAATTCAATATAATTTATTTCTCAATATAAAATTCAAAGTATACAAGGTAACAGTAAATTTTAACTATATTTACAAAATTTATAGGCGGGGCTTTCCATGAAGGTTGCGAAAACCTGTAAAGTTGGATCGCCCATTACAGAAATACAAAATAGTATAAGCACACAACAATACATTAAGTAAAATAAACAAAATACAGACACTTCAACTATCTATAATTAGACAAGAGAAAGTGAAAATAGAAAAAAAAATATATATACGGGGGGGGGGGGGGAGAAAACAACAATGAAAGAAAGGGGGTTCAGATATAAACATTCAACAACTGTGATGATTAATAACTATTTAGTAATAAGGTTTTATATTGTTTTCTAAGGGAAGATATGGATTGTGATTTCGTTATTACTTGGGAAATCAGGGCCCCGTCTTACAAAGAGTTACGATCGATCCAAATCAATCGTAAGTCCTCCAATCAATCGCAAGTTTGCAGTCTCCTATCTCTTATGTACATAGTTACGATTGATATCAATCGCAAATAACTTACGATTGATATCAACTCTTTGTAAGACGGGGCCCAGATTTCACTGTTTAGAACCTAGATAACTCATTGATTTAGCTTCATAACTAGACTTAAAGGTATAGACCGGTAGTGGTAAATTTGCTGGTCAAGGGTTTTGGGTGCAAAATATCCATTCAACATTGTTTAAATATTGCCTTCAGAAGTTTAGATGACAATACTTCAACCTAAATTCGCAAAAAAGCAGAAATAATATATGCCCAAATGTTTAATGTTAAAGTGCATTCGCGATATCTATCCAGGCCGGATCGATATGATGATTTACCAAATAGGCCTATATCGATTAGTAGGCGGTTTCCAGGCAAAATTTGTGTCATCACGAATTAGTAAAAACATATTCTTTTGCATGATTGGTAATAAGAGCTTCCATTTCATTTTTGAGGGGGGCGGGGCGTTTCCAAAACTGGTCTATACCTTTAACAGATCATAAATGAAATTCGTTGGAAAATCGGCTATTCTAATTATGAATTTAACTATTATATTGAAAGATGTCTGAAAAGGGGGTAGATAACAACTTTTTTATATTTGGATATGAACGTTGCGATTTCTTGCTTATTTATATTATATATATTTAGTACTGATAGCTTCTTAAATAAAGGTGCAGATGGGGCTAGATAATGAGAATTGGTAGCAATTCTTAAACATTTCTTTTGAACTTTAAATAGTGAGTCTAATTCAGTTCGTGTTGCATTGGTAGCCCATACAATATTACAATATTTAAAATAAGGGAAAATAATGGAATGATATAAAGTTATCCAATTTTCGTGTAACAAGCTATACTTTAGCGTATTTATCAAGCCAGTATTTCTGCTGATCTTATGTAACACATTTTGAGATATGGTTCTTAAATCTCAAGCAACTATCCAATACGACACCCAATAAATTAACGGAGTTACTTAATCGAATAAGTTTAGTATCAATATAAATGGGAATAGTATCGTTATTAATTAGAGGACCAACGTTATGTACTACAAAATTGTATAGCAATTTCAACCCGGGGCATCGATCTATCTTCAGAAATAGAGGGGGAGGGGCACAATATATTTATTCTAGGTAACATTATGTACGATCATATTGCTTCACCCCGAAGTTTAGCAGTACTTGACGCATGGACGCAAATTCGCACCAAAAAGAGTATTTTACAAGTTCACAGTCTGTAGAACCACACCATCGTTTGTTCAAACGAACTCTGATGAGATGATGTCTCACGGATTAAGAACTGTCGAAGTTCATAATTAAGCTGGTTCCTCCTAAATTGTAGCCATTTGACATCCATTCAGAACAAGTTTTAATTGTACTCTTGATGTGATGAAAGGAAGCCATCTTGGAAGATAAATAAATGCAAATTTACAAGACTACTAATTACGAGAGGGTGAGGCCGGAAGCTGATCCAGGCCTATGTTTTTCTCCTCCTTTCTCCTCTCTTTCTCGCTTTCTTTTTCCCTTCAAATTGGTTTGACAACATTCGATGCCGTGAGGGGCTCGTGCCCCCTGTATCTGCGCCCTTGTTGGTTGACTTTTCCATGCATATCATGTAAGTCCACATGTGATGAAAAGGCGGAATCTGTACAACATGACTTGAATAATTTCTAGGCAGCTCTGAGATGCTGCTGCACAGAAGAACTGTCGAAGGTGATCACGCTGTGTCCTGGTCAGTTGTACTGGATCCTCAGCCAGCTGACCTCCAATCAAAACAAGTGATGCACATTTAAATGTTGTACTCTGGGTGTAGCGAAAGGAAGCCATCTTGGAAGATAGTTTCTCTGATGAAAGGTCACCTTCTGGAAAGTCATGAGCGATAACTCCAACTTTACTCTGACCTGTTAAAAAAAAGAATGGGCTTATCAATTAGATCGTAGAGTGGCTCGTCAATGCATTATTACCCTTGTCCACTTTTTTCAATAGCTAATTTCTCTCTGCAGCCTATACTTTCAAACCGAGAATTCTCGACCGGGTGACAATCAGGCCCAAGGTCTACCAGTAAATTCTTGATGTCATTAATTGAAATCATGAAAACTGATTGGAATGTCAAGAGACTATGATCCACGAAGCTGACAGATTTACGATAAAGGTTATTGATGTCATGGACCTTCTGAAAATCATTTGGAATGTCCTGAGACAAAAGACCTTGAGGCTGAAGTTCGCATATAAATGTAATGGACCTTTAAGAAATTACTTATGTCCTGAGACAAAAGACCTTGAGGCTGAAGTTCGCATAAAAATGTAATGGACCTTTAAGAAATTACTTATGTCCTGAAACAAAAGACCTTGAGGCTGAAGTTCTCATAGAAATGTAATGGACCTTTAAGAAATTACTTGGAATGTCCAGAGACCAAAGGTCCTTAATGTCGATATTCTACTGATTTGATGATGAAATGATCAGTTTAAATGCATGGATCTTCGTAGATAATAATATAGTCTACAAGTCAACCCCACACTCTTTTCATAATATGTATTAGATATAAATCCGGATACAAGCAGAAACATGCTTGGTAGAGTACTGCAGTCAGTCTATTAATAATTATGTTAACATCCATTATGTACATCCGCCACATAATATGTATGCCATGATACTGGTACTCTTTATATCAAGAAAATTATAAGGATAAGAATGATTAATAGAGGTGTGTTTTACGCGTCGCTGTAACATGAGACGAATATTGAAACATGATCAATCGACTTACCCAGATAGTTTTTAGCCCTTTGTAGGAAGCCATCATAGAGAGCATCTGTGACATTGGTTATTGAGAATCGTCTGTTTTCTATGGAGTGACAGAGAAGCAGAACATCTATACCACTCAGATCAAGCTTTTCCATGTCACTGACGTTGTAAGGAAGGGGCTCATATCTCACAGTTTCCACAACATCTTTCATGTTGTGTTTGATGAGTTGGATAAGACCCTCTACGTTCTTAGACAGGCTTCCACTGCATACGCACACTTTCACTCCCTTGGCCCTGGGAATCTGAGAAATAAATACAGCATCGTGAAATTGATAAGAAAACAAAACAAACAAGGGCTGCTTTATTTCAATATTCGAATATATACATAGGGAAAAGTACATTAAATTTGTATATTACTGCCAAAGACCGGGAAAGTCTGATTTATATAATTTGCAAAAGCTCCATGCATGCGGCCGCTATATCAAAATTGACTTATCATGAAAATGGCCTAACGGTAATTTAATACCATTACGCTATAAAATATGTCTATTGTACACAACGATTTCGATTGCGTCAATAAGAGTCGAGCCCCCAACGTCAATTAGTATTTACTTGTGCCAGTGATTCAACGTATTTTCCCGCTATAGTGTTTATTAAAGGGATAGTTGAGTTCTGTTGCAGAGGGCGTTACACAAAATATTTTTTTTGGTGAGATAATGAAAAACTGAGTGTCAAATTTGAAAGAACATAATATATAAATGACAAAATCATCTTTGTTTGATCAAAATCGGTTCAGAGACGGCTATAATATAACGATTTCTAATATTTGTGTACCACCACAAAATATTAGATATTTGAAAAATTTGAAAAAAACGTTGACAAAAACGAAATAACGCCTTTTACGTCGTATTTCAACCAATGCCGATGTTGGCTTTTTTGTTGGAATTTTCGTGTTGCTCATATTACCCATAATTAGCCAGCTCATGTATTGCTATTTTTAATTAAATAATCAATTAACGGTCACCGTGTTTATTTGAAAGGGGAGCTAAATTGGTATGATCGTATTGGCTAAATTTCTCACATTTTGGGGTCTAAAATTACCTTTATAGCAATTTTAGGTTCTAAAGGAGCACTATAAAATTATTGTCATAGATAAGAATAAGAGCAATAACCATGCACTTTATAGGCATTTGCGGTCTGAAAACAGAACTCAACTATCCCTTGAAGCGAAACCGTGCCAGTCCCAGATGCAGTTATACGTCAGCAAAATTGTGTGTGCAACGGTGTGCCTATGGTTTGCCTATGGTACACTATCAATACGTCAATCTGCCGACGTAAGCCTTGCGTCAGTGTTTAGCTTGGTCTCTGACACGCCACGTGAGAATATCATCGTACGTAAAAGAGAATGAAAAATTAGCGATGCAAACATTGCGTTCAATTACCGATGTATAATGCAATGATTGGCTTTAAACGCTTCATAAGCGTATAGGAATTACAACGTGATAGAAACGACGCCTTGTTTGCAACATGCACAAGGCAGCACATGGTGGGTACTGTCTATCACGTCAGTGAAGGACATGAAACATTATACATACTTACAGCCTTTTCAGAGACAGACACATTGGCCGCAGACGCAAATACATCTTTTTTTAAGTAAGTAAAGTTTATTTAACCATAAAATGAAACATGTACAAACAAATGAGTAACATAGTAAACATAATACGGTAAAGGACAACCTTAGAAGCAAATTGCTTGTGGTGGGGCCTTAAAAAGAAAAAACAAACTACACATAAATTATACAGTTTAAAAACTTTAAAATAACATGATACAAACACACATGCACGCTCACACATATACATACACACATACATTCAAAATATCCTCCTCTGCTCAAACTTGTTTACATAAATCATTAAATAATAACTGTGTACATCGTACTTTAAATCGAGATAGAGTTGTACTTTCCTTAATATCATTACTCAACTTATTCCATTCCTTAATGCCATTTAAATAGAAAGAATTTTGTGCATTTTTCGTACGAACTTTAAATAAATGTAAATCATTTTTCTGACGAGTAGAATACGAGTGAATATCACTATTAATAACAAAGTTTATATTAGGAATTTCTGGCAATATGCGATTTTGAAATTTAAACATAAATATGCGAGTATTAAACTGAATCAATTCAAAAATTGGGACTACGTGTGTTTTAACAAAAAGTGGCCGTGATGGGGCTAAATAATCAGATTTAGTAATAATACGCACGGCTCGTTTCTGTAACAAATAAATCTTATCTATATATGATGCATAAGTATTTCCCCAAATAATATTACAATAATTTACATGTGGAAAAATCATACTATTATACAACATTAGCAAAATATTTGATGGTAAAACATGCTTTAGCTTTGACAAAACTCCAATACTTCGAGATAATTTCAACGAAATGCAATCAATATGAGGTTTCCAATTAAGTGATTCATCAATTATAATACCAAGAAACTGAACACATTCTTTCCTTTTTATAATATTTACATCAATTTGTATAGGCAATAAATCACTAGGGATCTTCCGATTTCGAGAATGAAATATTACATAATTTGTTTTATCATAATTGAGAAATAATTTATTACATTTGAACCAATTATCCAATTTTATCAATTCATTATTCATAATATCAACTAAAGTAAATACACTACTATGTGATGTAAAAACTGAAGTATCATCTGCAAAGAGTGTAAAATTTAATACATTTGAAGATTGTTTAATATCATTTATATAAATTAAAAACAAAAGGGGCCCTAGAACTGATCCTTGAGGAACACCACATATTACATCCCTTTTAGTCGAACAGACACCGTCAACCACCACATACTGCTTTCTATCACTCAAATAGTTTTCAATTAATTTCAATGGAAGGCCGCGAATACCATAATAATTTAATTTTTTGAGCAGTATGTGGTGGTCAATGGTGTCGAACGCTTTTGATAAATCCATAAACACCTTACCCTTATCCATATTCTTAATTACATAATCTGTTAAATGAAGTGCTCCCAAACATGTAGAATAAGTCTTCCTAAATCCAATCTTGACATAGTGGGGTCGTTCGACGCATTGTATAGCGTTGACGGAACACGACGCATAAAGCCATTGTGCCAATTGATTTCTGCAATATTACGTATATACCAGAGTAAACAGGCGAGCTATACGTCTGAGCTTATTGGTTTCTGTACATCTAATATTTGTTTCAATTTATATACATTCGTATTTTCTTTGAAAATTTTATTGAAAGAACCACATGACACCTTGCCTATCGCTACATTCAATATTCATACACTCTGAAACAACAAGAGAGTAATCGTTTAAACTCAGATTTTGATAGGAAAGAAAAGAAAGAACAAAACTTACCTGTGTAGTAGATTCAGAATCCATGTTTTCTACGTGTTGTTCTATACCACTCGTAAAACCCTGACCTCAACTATGAAAAGTTGAAACAACATACATTACTTTTGGCAAATGTGGATACCAATGTTAAAGGGCCGGATGTGAACAGATTGAGCGGTGCATGTATAGTCGTATTGCAGGGGAAAGTGATAGACTACAGATTCGGTTCTTGAAGTTTTAGAGAATGCATCAGAGCAAAGGTCGCGGTAAACGTGATTGTGTGCTAGCTCTCACGTGACATGTAAGGTGACTGCACAGACGAGAAGGAGGGAGTATAGGAGCTCTAGTCCTCCTTTTTTCTTCCAATAAATCGGCGCCAATGCCGTACGCCGTTGTGACCGCGCCGTTTGTCCTACCAGTTTCGTTTGTCCGTCGGACATAATATGCGGATTTTCTGCTCGCACGGATCGTGCGGTTTGCTATCCGCACATTTTGTCCCCCCATTGTTTTACGTGTATATTTGATAAAAGGAAGCAACTCGGCAAATCAATGTATTTAGACTCATTGTAAATCATGTGGTTGACATTTTTTCTAGAAATTACACAATAATAACTCTACAATTTTTTTAAAGCAAATGGGCCAGTCCTTTTGAAAGTAGAAGTGAATATTTTCTTTAAAACCTTTATTTTATGAAGGCATACTCGTGATATCGGCCCCACAACTGTTGTAATCGATTATACTTTTGTACGTGGCTTCGTGCATCAACCAACTCACTACTAGTATATACTCGTCATACAGGCCCCGCTCCAAGTATTTGTGGGCGTTTCGAGGTTTAATGAAGGAGTTAAATGGGAAATAAAAGTGATTAAAAATGGGGTGGGGAGGCTAGAGTATTTAAGTTGGCGGATGCTCAGGGGGTAGGGGCATTTAATTAGGGTCAGATGAGCATATTTTAATACCTTATTCATGACACTGGCAGGTCACTAATTGGCGTATGGTCCAAGGGGCGGAGTCCCCAGAAGCGCAGGGGTTTTAGGCATTAAAATTAAGGTCAGATTAGCATCCAGGGGCCAGCCTTAGGTCCCAAGGTGGGGTCCAGGGGGCAGAGCCCCCGGAAGCTCAGGGGTATGGGCATTTAATTACGGTCACATGAGCAATACTTTCTTTTCTATTTCTTTCTATTTAATTCTCTTTAATATACTTTTTAAAAAGTGTGTGTGTGGGGGGGGGGGGGCTTGAGCCCCCAAGCCCGCCGTAGTAGGCCTCTAAATAGTAAATAAGCACGTTTCTTGCCACAAACGCATAAAAAGTATAATTTACTAAAAAGTGTGAAAAAATCCCGGAAAATTAGGCCGTTTCAGCAGCATCTGCAAATCACTGGTATCAAATTAGAACAAAAAATTAACTTTTAAAGTTTATTTTGGTGGTGGGGGGGGGGGTAGCAACTGGCTGATTACTTACACCCATGGTGTCGAGGGGCTCTTTCTTTATTTTTGTTCGGTAATAAATAAGGTTAGTTTATGTGGGTGTCACTCAGGCGCGGACATACGGGGGGCGACGGACCCGCCCCCCCCCCCTCTTTAAAAAAAAAAAAGAAAGGAAAGGAAAAAGGAAAGAAAGAAGGGCTAAAAACACGAGTTAGAAGTGGACCAATCAAGGCGCTCACTTATTCGTATCAGGTGAAAATACACGGGGGCTCGGGTGAATCAGCCCCCGAAAGTCATAAAAGTAGCCCCCAAAATTTTTAAAGTATTTTTTTTCCCTGATCCGTATATAGGACAAGGCCCTGGGGCAGCTAGTCATACTCCGATATTTGGGTCGTCTTCCGATCAGAACTAGCCCTAACTATCATTCCAGGATTTTGTTTCAGAACCTGAGACAAAGTCACCCAATCCTTTTAAGTTTCAAAAAGTAGTCTTCATTGACCTGTACATAGGCTTAGGAACCAGGGGGTGCTTGGGGGGTACAGCCCCCCCCCCCCCCAAAAAAAATATATATATTAGGGGACTCAGGCTCGGTTATCATGAGCCCCCCTCCCCCCCCCCCCCCCCCCCCCTCCCCAGCATTTTGTTCGTTCTGATGAGTTGAGGGAAGTGTTTGCCGGAGATATTGACTTTGTAGCATTAACTCGGCAGCTAACAAACGTGTATGACGATGAGAGGAAACCTATCAAATACATTAAAACAATCTGTGAGATTTTCAACAACAGTCCAATCTATAAGAGATCATTCTCAGAGGTACACATTCTTCTTCTCATATACCTTACCATCCCGGTTACAACGGCAACTTGCGAGAGAACAATCTCTGTCTTGAAAGGGATCAAAACTTATCTGATAAGTACAATGACCCAAAGAAAGCTCAACCAAAGCTTAATATTACTCATATATAAATCTCGTAGAGATAAACTGGACTATAGTTTGCCCAAAACTTTGTTTCCAGGAACACAAGAGGACAAAACTTCTTTGGCACATTTGTCTGAGGCTTCATGTGCACCTCAAAAGAAGAAAAGTCTGACATTTTTCGCCGCGATGACATAGACGAGGAACAAAGAATTTATTTCCAGTTGCAAATTAAAGACAAAGGAAGATCTCAGAATTATATTTTTTGGGTGGTGCCACATTTCAGTTTTTAAATATGTCCGTTTATAGGCATTACAATAAAAGTTTTGTTTTTCACGTTCCTGGGGTATTATTTTTTCCAAAGGTGTTAAATGTGTGTTATTTTAACACCTAGTACTTTGTCTTACTTAATAAAAATAAACTGAATATCTTACAATTCAACGATTTCTTCAAGTAGGCCTACTTTTATTAATTTCTTCAACTGCTTAAAATTAAGGCTACACATGCTTTGTTACTGTAGAGCTGCAGTGTGAACAGGCTACTTAGTAATTCACATTATAGATTGGTGCACATCATTATGCATAATGGTGGAATAATTATTTTACCCCAATTTATTGAATGATTTTGACAATGATTTATTTCTTATAGATCTAGATAATATTATACATTCTCAGATTTATTGAATGACAATTGGGGAGTGTTTGTTTTGCGTGAATGCTAAAGCATGTGTGTGCTAATCATAGGGGATCTACGTCCTTAAGTCATAACTGACAGTAATGTGGGTAATGCCTCATAAAAGGTCACTAATATAGCACATCGATACATTTTTTATCTTCGGGGCTCACAGTAACGAGGCTATTGCTTAGCCAATGAATCATGACCGTACGCAGCGGGCGCTAGGGTACGTCGACGCCCCCTCACAAAAACAAAGAATCAAAGAAAATGCAATAAATTTTCAATAATTCATTGCATTTTGCACCGACCCCCAACATAAAAAAAATCCTCTATGTGGGCATGCCTTGAACCAGAGGCGGTTCTCCCGGGGGGGCAGGGGGGGCACAGTGCCCCCCCACTTTTTCAGATACCCCAAAAGTGCCCCTTTTTACATAGGAAAAGTGCCCCTTTTATTTTGTAAGAAGTGCCCCTTTTACATAGGAAAAGTGCCCCTTTTACTTTGACAAGTGCCCCTATTACTTAATAAAAGTGCCCCTTTTCACCTCTGACGAGTGCCCTTTTTATTTTTGACACGTGCCCCTTTTCCTTTGACATGTTCCCATTTTCCTTTGCAATAAGTGTCCATTTTCCATTTTCATCAATCTTGAAATTATCTTTAATAAGTGCCCTTTTTAATCTCTAGTAAGTGCCTCTTTTCAGGTACGAGAATTGCCCCTTTTCACTTTTGATAAGTGCCCCCTTCACCTCTGATAATTGCCCTATTCAAATCTGAGAGGTGCTCCTTTTACTTTGACAACTGCCCCTTTTTTCCTTTGTAAGAAGTGCCCCTTCTCCTTTTAATAACTACCCCTTTTTTAAACTCGGATGAGCACACCTTTAATTTTAACATGTGCCCCTTTTATTTTCTAATAAGTGCCCCTTTTCCTTATGATAAGTGCCCCCATTAAAAAGAAAAAGCTCCCTCCCCTTCTCATGACGGCCCTTTTTTTAAATGTGAACGGTGCCCCCTTTTCATTCAACAAATGCACATTTTCCTTTATTATTAGTGCCCCTTTTACATTTTCATACGTGCCCCTTTTCATATCTGGTCAGTGCCTCTTTTCACCTCTGATAATTCCCTTTTTAATAATGATACGTGCCCCTTTTCCTTTCTAATAAGGGATCTGTCCCCTTTTCACCTCTTATAAATGCCCCTATAAAAATCTGATGGGTGCCCTTTTTCCGTCAACAAATGCCTATTTCCCATTTTCGTAAACGCCTCTTTTTCTTCAGGTGAGTCCCTCTTTTCAGGTGAAAAAATGCCTCATGTTCACCTCTTATAATTATCCTTTGTACTTTGACACGTGCTCCTTTTCTTTTCTAATAAGTGTCTTATCCCTTTCGATAATTGTCCCCTTTTCATGAAATCATTAAACATGCCCCTTATTTAAAGCGAGTAAGAGCAATTTCCCCCAAAGTTCGCTCGCTGCGCTCGCTCGCATTTAAAGATGATATAATTATGTTAGTTATCAAAGGTCTTTTCAGTCTTCCGTTATGAGAATGTGCTTATAACCCCATTACGATTGGCTTTTTTCCTCTTTATAAGATGTAATTTTTCGCACTGCGACCTCGCAGATCTTTAAAATTTTTCTCGCTCGCTTCGCTCGCTCGTAAATGCATATTCAGCCATCCCACCCAACTGTAAAGTATGATGCTTAAGCGATATCTTGTATGATGTATGAAGAGAAACAAATATTGAAATAATCCCTGATAATGTAATCACAATGCAGGGGTATGTACCAATGTCTAAAAAATTGTATATTTTCGCTTTGAGATTTCCCACTGTAGGTGCCCTTTTTTCTTCAGAAAGTGCCCTTTTTTGTTGGTGCCCCCCCACTTTGGAAGTCGCTCGTCCGCCCCTGCCTTGAACCATAATGTATGGCCCTACAGAGGAATTTTTCCTGTTGGGGATTGGGGAAAATGCAATGAATCATTGATAATTTATTGTATTTTCTTTGTTTATTTTTTTGTGAGGGGGCGTCGACGTACCCTAGCGCCCGCTGCGTACAGTCATGATTCATTGGCTAAGCAATGGCCTCGTTACTGTGAGCCCCCATGCTCAAAACCGTGTCGATGTGCTTTGTTAGTGCCCTTTTATGAGGCATTAATCCCTATTACTGTCAGTTAAGACTTAATGACGTAGGTCCCCTAGTTGATTAGCATAGTAGCACAAACATGCTTTAGCAGTCACGCAAAACAAACACTCCCCAATTGTCATTCAATAAAATCTGAGAATGTATACTATTATCTAGATCTATTAGGAATAAATCATTGTCAAAATCATTCAATAAATTGGGGTAAAAATAAATATTCCACCATTATGACCAACA